TGCGTCCATCCTGCACCTCTATAAGAGGAAGGGCAATCGCCAGGTATGCGACAATCACCATGGAATCTTGCTGCTTTCTACAGCGGGGAAAGTTCTTGCACGGGTTCTGTTGAACCGATTGATCACTCACCTGGAGAAGGGCTTACTGCCAGAATCACAGTGTGGCTTCCGCAAGGGACGTGGGACTATTGACATGATCTTCGCTGTGCGTCAGCTACAGGAGAAATGTCAAGAGCAGAATCGTGAACTCTACACAACTTTTGTGGACCTCATGAAAGCATTTGACTCTGTCAGTCACCAGGGCCTGTGGAGGATCATGTTGAAATTTGGCTGTCCAGACAGATTTATAGGAATGATATGTCAATTTCATCACGGTATGATGGCTCATGTCCTGGATGACGGTGAAACATCTGAGGTCTTCCCAGTCACCAACGGCGTCAAGCAAGGGTGTGTTTTAGCATCCACTTTGTTCAGCATGATATTCTCTGCCACTTTGACTGATGCCTTTCATCACTGCACTGAAGGAGTAGGCCTGAAGTATAGAACTGACGGGAAACTATTCAATCTGAGGCGACTGCGTGCCATCACCAAGGTGAAGGAAACTGTACTTCGAGACTTTCTCTTTGCCGATGATTGTGCTCTGAATGCTAGTACAGAGCCAGAAATGCAAGCCAGTATGGACAAGTTTTCAACTGCATGCAACAACTTCGGTCTCACCATTAACATCAAGAAGACTGAGGTCATGCACCAGCCAGCTCCCCACGCTCCGTACTCAGAACTGTCCATCACTGTAAATGGACAGAGACTTCAGACAGTGGACCACTTCACGTACCTGGGCAGTACCCTTTCCCGAGCAGTGTCAATCGATGATGAAGTAAACTGCAGAATTGTTAAAGCCGGGTCTGCATTTGGCCGATTGCGCTCCAATCTTTGGGAACCTACCAACGAAGCTGAAGGTCTACCGAGCAGTGGTGCTTCCAACTCTTCTGTATGCCTGCAAGACGTGGACTGTCTATCGGAGTCATGCACGAAGGCTCAATCACTTCCACATTTCCTGTCTGCGAAAGCTTCTAAAAATCAGATGACAGGACAAAGTGCCTGATACTGATGTCCTTACTAGAGCCAGTCTGCCGTCAGTTCACACATTGCTGATGAGAGCCCAGACCAGGTGGGCCGGACATATTGTGAGAATGTCAGATGAACGCATTCCTAAACAGCTCTTCTACGGAGAACTCACTCAGGGAAAGTGCTCCCATGGAGGACAAAAGAAGCGGTTCAAGGACACGCTGAAGACCTCTTGAAGTCCTTCGAGATCAACACTGCCACATGGGAAACCTTCGCACTGAACCATTCAGCATGGCACAGCCTCATTCACACAGGCAGTAATACCTCTGAGGCGAGGCGTATTGCTGAGGCTGAAAAAAAGCGTGAGCTGCGCAAGTCCAGAGCTGCTCGTACATCATTGACAGTGCCATTACATGTCTGCCCGACGTGTGACAGGAGGTTCCACGCCGGAATCAGACTGATCAGTCATCTTCGGACGCACAGAGCCCAGTCATCAAAAGAATGAGTTGTTGAGGTCTTCATCAATAACGATGGACGAACATCAGTCCTGGTCTGCTGTGGCTCTAGCCCCACTGACTGACAGCACAGCTCTACTGGCAACTTCCTTGACCACAGTTAGGCTTTGGGAGTGAGATCCTTACCCACGCTCCAGCCACTTTACACCAGGTAAAAAGGCTGTAGCAGAATAAAGGGGCTCCAACCCCTCCCCCCAATCTGCTTGGGGAAGGGTTCCCTGGTGCAGGAACTGTGGAAGACAGTTATAAGACCACTTTCCTAGGACCATCTCAAGCCCTAGCATGCTAGGGAAAGGGTCGGGGCAGGGCCGCAGCACACAATACTGTGGGGATTCTGGGCAGTGATGCAACCTGTAGGGGAGCCAAGGAAGGGCTGTCTAAATTACTTCGGGGTCTGCTCTGCTCGTGGGTAGGCTCAGGATAGGGATGGCACAAACATGGCTTTAAACCTCTTTACCCACCCTCCTTCAACAAAGCCAAGAGTTCTCTGTTGCACCTCTTAGAGGCACAGCAGAGAATTGCACCCTAAGAGTAGAAAGTACAGCAGAATGTAATATAATTTGACTATATTATTCTGGGAATTTCTGGTATACTGAAGGGAGGATAATGTTAATCTTCGTGCCCCCTTCATCCAAACCAACCCTGAACCCTTTCCTGGAAGGGAACTGTGGACACTGGTATAGTCTATGCCACCATGGAGATGAGGGAAGCCATGCACTGAGGGTCACCAGTTACAATTTGCCCCCATATAAGTAAAACCAGATTCCAAACCCTGCCCCACCCCTCCTCAGACTGGAAATCTTGTGGATTTCTTTAAAAAGAATTTTTGGTAGGTATTTCAAAGATCTGTTAGAAAACCCAATTTTTTCTATCTTGCTCTCATCTAAGCCTGTTTCTGCTTTACTTTCAATGGATATACAATAAATGTCACCCTTCTGTCTTTGTACAGGATGTATTTTATTTTACCATGTTTTTATAGCTATGCAAATACACCCACAATGAAACTAATGCTTCTTTTAGTTATAGTGGTGTAAGTTAACAGCAAGTCCATTTAAAATCAATGGTGTTAAATCGTCAGAGAACTAATACAGTGCGAGAGGAGAATCAGTTCTGCCTTGTTTTTCTGTACATTTGGAGTTGTTTTAGTTAATGTGTTCTTACCCATAACTTTCTGCCTTCGGCAGAGAAGGGACATGCCGAACATTCAAGAAGTCTAGAAATATTTTGGGGAGATCTTCATTTTCTAAAATGATAGTCTGTAATACAGAAAATACACAATATCATTCAGTTCTTTTCTCATTCTTTTTATTTATCATCTAACAATAACTTTTAATAAGCAAACCACAATTACTCCAACTCTTTTCTAGTCACACAACATCTTCCAATACCACAATCTGTGTTACTAAATTCTGAGATTATGTCAGATTATGGTGATGCAAGACTGCCCTTTCCCATGCCAGTATCAGTGACAAACATTTATCCAAGAAAAGATTTACTATAAGTTTGAAGCTTAAATTTGATTTTTGGTACATTCATTTCAGAATAAAATTTTGATTTTGTTGTCCCCTTTTAAAATCAAAATCAACAGCAGCACATGGTTAATGACCTCAGCTACTTCATTTCCAGCACTTGAAAGTATCCCATCCATCATGGCAGTAGGAAAAAGGAACTCTCCTGTGTGTTCATGGGCTTACTCGGTGTTATTAATGCAAGATTTAGGGAATGTTAACAAGGTGAGTTGTTTGTTTGGCATGACAGATCGGCTTACAATGCACTGGTCACATCTATAGTGTGGTCACCAATGACAAAGGCCTGGTGAAAGAGCTACTATCTAGACCTGCCATACTGTTCCATATTAATAATGTATGGCCTGGAATCCATTCCCCTTCCCAAATATTTTTCACCAAACAGATGATTTGTAGTTTTATGAGTAAATTAGTAAATTAATTAGAAACAGATTTAATAGAAAAGGACACAACAGGTAAATGGGATTTTTAAATACCCATTCACCATGAGAGACAGGCTGATTTTTTAAGAACACGATAGACTTCTACAGTTTTATAGTAACTGGTAGGAGGCAGTTCGTAGCTGGTCTCCACTCCTCACATAAGACAAATAAAATAGTTCACAAATACATGTCATGGTTTCTCTGGAGGATTAAGGCCCTATTCACTTGTCACTCATACTGCTGAACATCTTTACTTGTTACTACAAAAGCCATACGGATGTATGGCACTTAACAGATAAAAGGCATAGTCACTCTGCTGAAGAGCTTTCCATCTCAGAGGCCTAATCCAGCAAACAATGCATGAGAGTAACTTTACTCACATGAGTAAAGTTTGATCAAAGGAAACTACTCACACAAGTAAAGCTGCATACTGTGCTTGCAGGATTGGGCCCTTGGTTAGAACAGAACCATTGTGACAGGGTGAGAAAACAAGAGGCCAGGGTTGGTAATGGGAGGGAGCATTACACTATACAAGCTCATGAGCCAACATTCCTATTGTATGTAATCTAACCGTATACAATACAAAAGCTTATTTTTTCAATTTGGTTAATGTGGGGCAGTAGTGCATGTGGGGCAAGAGCAATTCAACTATTTGTGTAACAAAAAACCCTAGTTACGATTCACAAACATTACCATAAAATATGGGTAGACTTAAAAATAGAAATAAATTTTAAAATAAGATATCTGCACATCAGTTCTTTTTTTACTCTTCTTTCGGGACCTGAGTTCAGAGTTCCATATTTCTCCAGCAAGATCTGATATCATAACAACATGTTTAATAAAAACAACCCTCGATCAGAGAATGCAGCTCCCGAACTGTTTTACCGTGACACCACTTCTTACAAGAGAAACAAAGTTCTCAAGTCTTGGCTGGTACAAAGCCTTTCAGTTCACCTTTAAATGAGGATGCAGCATTAAATGCTTCTTCATTTACATTCTGTGAAATCAGCACTATGGTGTTGCAAAATTCATCTTGCTCTGCATTCAAGTTATGCATGGGAGGAGGGGTGGAGGGGGATGCTTATTCAAAGGACATGTGAATTGCATAACAATGTGCACTATTTGCTCAGACAAAAACAATTTACTAATATTAATCAATCTTGCACCAAAAATCGTGTGTGCAAGAGCTGCTTCAGGGCATCTGTAATTTATGCACAATCCCTTAGTTCCACTTCTTGAGTTTTTCATACACCATGTTAGAGCAATTTGAGTGACTTGGTGAGGTCGGCTGCCGGTAAATTTAGAAGACAGAAGAGATGGTCGGGGGAGGGGAAGGACATGTCACTGAACAAGAGAAGTTGTTCTGATGATGCTAACATATTATTGAAGCAAACTTATTTGTTGTTGCTGCTGCTCACTCAATTATTCCAAGTCAAATCAACCCAAGCCTGGACAACTAGTTATACAGCACCCATGATTTCATTAAATTAGTTTAACTGCAAGGTCTCCGATGGACATTATTTCCTTAGACATTTCAGGATCTTACTCCCATTAGTTTAGCACCTG